CCGTCGACGGGATGTTGCGTTCCGGTAGAGTACGGGGCGTGACAGAACCATCCTCCCATATTGTTCTACTTCCAAGCTAGATTGTTAAGGTCGGGATCCTACTTTGAATCAATGAGTGTGTCCAAGGGATCAGGTCGTAATTTCGGATTTGAGGATCGTAAGATCTTTATACAAGAATCTTGGTGTCATTCGAAATTTACAACTTGCGACATCATGTGAGTTTAGAACTTGATTGATTGATGGTATTGATCTTATGGACCTTGTCATCACTTAGGATTGGGACCATATAACGATCCCAACAAATCAAGTTTCGAAAATCCAATTGTTTCTCTCACTTTTTTATCATAAGAATGTATGATGCTACGGCAGGACTATTCCATAAAGAGACTAAAATAAGTAAGTTGATGTGTGCGCAGAGCACCTAGTGACCCTGCATTCTTTTCCAGCAGACCGATCACTTGTTGAATGGGGGAGGATATACAAATAAAATAGTCGAATTTCATTCCCAACAGGGATTGGATTGGAAGGACTATCGCAAAGAAAATGCTCTTTTGTGAAAAAAAAAATGTGGAGTGTCACATGAAGAATGGGGATGAATCACATGCCTACGAATATTTCCTCCCTTGTATCACTTCCAAAAGAATACCCGAAATCGAGCTTAGCCATCTTTTACCCTCTGAGCAGCTAGGTGCCATGTTGGTCGCTAGTGTTTGATGACTTTCATAAGATGCGAATACTTGGATGTCGAGTCAGACGTCGAGTGATGTAAATAGTGGCTCGATATCATTTATACGACCTTTCAAGTTGATAGATCCACATCTACTAAATGTATGTCTTCCATTAGGGAAAATCTCTCTCTCTCTCTCTCTCTCTCTCTCTCTCTCTCTCTCTCTCTCTCTCTCTCTCTCCTTGTGCGACCGCGCGCTCTGTCATGGATGATGAGAATATTGAGTCGAAAATTTCATATAGCGATTGCGTCTCCAAATTTCTTGATTGACCATGATAAAAATTTGACTTTTCGTAGAATATTTAACTCCATTTTCCTGTTCAATTAGGTACTTCACTCAGATTTGACTAAGTAACCCACTGGCTACTCAATCAGATGTCAAGATCAAAGTGACCGAGTTTGAATGGATACAAAAAACCATCTCTCGCGTAGCATAGATGTTCAAGCTAAGAACAAAGGTGTCGGTCATATCTTCTTTTTTTCCTTTTCATAGGAAGCCCGTAGCTTGTACTCGGATGTTTGGGGGCAAAGGCAACTTGGTAGGAGCGGGGGGCGGATCTTTTTGTAAAGACAAAGTTGGTTGTATGTGCTTGTGCCTATTCCAACACAACACCCCTCTCCTTTGACATCTTGTAGTTGTCACCACCCCCCTATCCCATCCTCTTTCTGTCTCCATTTGGTTTAATGCCTTCATGTCAAACAAAAGAGAGACGACAAACACCCCTTTGCTCCTTTCTTAGCTTTCTCTTCTCCAACCTCCCGCACCATACCAAACTTCCCTCTCTCTCTCTCTCTCTCTCTCTCTCTCTCTCTCTCTCTCTCTCTCTCTCTCTCTCTCTCTCTCTCTCTCTCTCCTGTGTCCTTAGAGAAGTCAATGGAATGGTACAAGGTTCTCTTCTGCTGAAAGAGTGTGGAGTAGCGCATGTTTAGATGGCTAGTGAAGGCATAGAGTCTCCCAACATTTCGTACTTAACCCTCTTGCTCGTCCTGCTCGCTGTGATTCCCAGCATTGCCATGCTGTCTGAGCAAGAGCAAAGAAACATCCCGTCACCGCGAGCTCCTTGGACCACGACGGCAGAATCCAATGGTGTGCAGCTCGAGAGGGGCGATTCGAACACGTTATCGGCAAGCGCCAGAGGTGGCTGTTTCCAGCGTGAGTGCGGGCGCCAAGGACAGGAAGTTCAAAGCCATCGGTTACCAGTTCGGCCATGGAAAGAGGATATGTTCAAAGCCAGAGCGCATGAAGTTCCCAGTGGTCCCAACCCTATTTCAAATTGACACCCCACCCATCTTTAGGTACATAGAGTCCTTTTCTTTTGACTGAATGGATCGGTATACCGATATGTTTGTTCCTCTCCTTCGCGGTATTTTTTCATATGTATGCTTGTGTTTTTTGCTCTTTTGACTGTTTAAGTCTCCTTAGTGTTAGACACCTTCATCATTCACCAGAGGCGTCGTATATTATATGTGTGAGCACTCGAGAGAAAGCTAGGTCAGTCTTGCTTTCTATCTTCCCTGATCATTCGTCATCTCTTATTATACGTGCACCCCATGAGTTTCTAGTCACCCTGTTTCACAAACTTCAGTCCATAGAGATATGTAAGCGGACGTTCGGCAAATAGAGATCGTATCATCTATACACACTTGAGAGTAGAGACGATCATCAGACCAACAAACGAGCAAACTTCGTGACATCCCTCTTGCATTTTCAAGTCGGGTCGGGAGAATAGAGAGTTTCCATTTATGTAAATTCCATCTGTATACCAACATGTACATGAATTGGTTTAGCTCGGTGATTAACAAAAGCAAATCAGGCGGTGCCGGCTTAAGGCTAAAGTTGAAATCAAGAAAAGAGAGAGAGAGAGAGGGGTTGAATGATTCCCAAATGCATTGGTGGGTTCAGATTTTCTTTTTGTCCTTGCGTTGCGCTTTTAGCACAGACGAGACTGAGTGCAAATGATGAAAGGAGAAAAAGTAAAAGCCTAAAAGGGCTCAAGACCTGACCGGAGACTCGTTGTTTTGCGTGCTAAAGTCTATGTGGGTCCTCCTCATCCCATTGCATCCCACCAAGCTCTCAATTCTCTCCCCCCAGTTCTGTGTATCTGCGATAAAATCAGGAATACCGAGGTCTTATTTCATGAAAAGTTGTTTCTGCAAAGAGATTGCGATGAATCCTAAGTAAAATCTGATCTAGTAAAATACTTCCCCTCCACTAATTCATATATTTTGAGTGACTTACATGAAAAAAAATATCCCTATACTCGATGAAAAGACATCTCTTTCCACTTCACATCCATCGATCAATAACTATTCATTTATGGAAATCTTTTCTTTTTTCCTATGCATAGTTGGTAACTTAATAGGGCAAGCAAAATAAGTGTTTCAGATAAAAGTTGGTACTTTCAATTAATAATTGGTAAAATGAAGGCGATGGTTAAAAATGTAAAGTTGATAAATGATTAGGGTTATTTTTTTTTGTCATAAATAAGAGAAGTTGGTAATTTTAAAAAGAAGAGAAACATAGGTAACTAACTTGGGTAACTTAACCAGATAAAAAGTTGGTGATTATTCCGATTAAGGCTAGTAATTGCTAAAAAGAGTTGGTAAATTTAATGGGTTTGATAAGAAAGGTAAATAAAAAGTTGGTATGCAGCTTAAATGAGACTTGATAAATCATAACTAGTAGGTGACCTAATGGAAGAGAACTAGTAAGTCACATAGATAAAATTCGTAAATTGAAGACAATTGTAAGAGAAGCAAATAAGAATTGTTGAGAGATAATTAAGAAAAACAAATCAAATGAAAGTTTTGGTAAATAATTCAAATGAGCATTGATAACTCATAATCAACGAGCAATTTAATCAAAACCAAGTTGGTAAATCACTCAAATTAAGATTGGTAATTTCATGTATGGCAGTTGGTATATTTGGTGTCGGCAAGAAGATAAATAAATTTAGTAAAAAAAAGAAAGTACTTTTCATAAAAATGCCTGTAAGTTACAAATAAGATACCGAAAAATCGGGTGATCGGTAATTTTTTTGGCATAACAGTTTTTTTTGCATTTTCTGACTCTTTCAGAAATATACCAGCACGGAGTAAGGTCATCCATCTAACAATAGCACATGACTTAAACAGTCAAAGCAAGGACAGTTGATAAGCAAATAATGCTAGGAAAGCAGGCCACCTCACTTAAACATCACATAATGATTCCTAAAAATGGGCCTTGCCATGTCTGGTTGTGCCATTGGGATTTGAGCCTTTGCTTTAACTTTGAATGAACCTGTAAAATGATGAGAGCCCAGTTAAACTCCAGCAGCCCAGGCCATCGATCAGAGTCAAGCAATTGAGAGGCCCCTTTGTCTCTCCCTGCCTAGCATTTCCTTTCCCTCCCTCAACAAGTATTCCAGTATACTATGATCTGATATTCCATGAACTTAGTACACATCAGTCGAACTTTGACGGTTGGATCTGGCGTGATTCACGCAAGACCCGCATAGAATTTCACTACTTCCAGTGGTCTGGATTCGACTTAGTATACATGTTATACTCATATAATGATTTCTTAGTATACTATAGTTTGTACATTGTTGTAAAGGTACATGAAATCTATAGAGATAGCGAGACTTGTTCACCAACAAAGGACATGTGTTATGTCAAGCCTAATGTTCTTGATAGTTCGCGTTAGTTTGTTTTTTTTTTTTGCGCGCTGAAATGGGGTCTCCGATGTTGACAAACTATAAATCGCCCACATGAGTTAGCTAAACTACACTTTGTACTTGAAAGAGCAAGTCATCATGTCTATTTTGTATGTCTAAAGATAGAACGCCATTTTTAAGAACCCCCTTCTAAAACTCATTATTGACTACCACAATTTTGGTGAGATATATGTACTCGCGCATGCTCTTTCAACAAGCCAAATGGTGGCCGGGATGACAGCTAGCTGGCAGTAGCTGCATATATGGTGACTAACGACGATGCCGAGGCCAATTCGATCATCAATTAGTGACAGTAGAAGATACTTCATCCATAGAGACAGTGATTCGCTTTGATTAATGACTCAAATGATAAGATAACCGGTTTCCCAACATGATTCATCTATTTCCAAAATAAGTTCGTACTGACAAAGCTCTAGAGAACGTGATCCTGTCTTCAGCCAACTCCAATATGCCTAGAGAGAGAGAGAGAGAGAGAGAGAGAGAGAGAGAGAGAGAGAGAGAGAGAGAGAGAGAGATCTTCACCAGCCGAATTGAGAGCTGCGAGTATACTAGATCAATGAGCTGAACAATATCTCAATATATCAAATTCTAGAAAGAATGTATGTAATCCAAACAAAATATACAAGAGTTTAAAGTGACCCCTAGCAATTCCACGCTAGTTGGTCTATGGGGCTCAAATTATAATACATTCCACCTGCAGCCACTCCTGTTGACGATCGGTCCACGAAATCAAAATCAAAGCTAGAATCCATCGCAGCGGTGCTCATGAAATCGCAGTTGTCGCTTTCCACCCCTAATTTCCCATTTTTCTCATCGTCTGGATTGAGTCCAGGAGGCTGCTGCTGCATCTGCTCTTGCGAGGTGTCTTCGTGCCTAGGCCCTGCCAATACAGCATTTTCCTCGAGGCCACAATCCCAGAGGTAACTCTCCTCCACATTTCCCAATAACCCAGTCGACAATGAGTTCAACAGAGAAGAGAAAGACGATGATGACCTGCCCGCGGCTGCTAAGTCCACCAATCCATGTGGAGAAGCAGCACTAGGGTTTTGTTGGTGGTATTCAAACGACACTATGTTTGAGCTTGTTGAAGAAGTTGCATGCAATATTGGGGGAAAAAGACCAGTACCAGTAGGAGTAATGGCCTGATCAGGACAAGGAACAGAAGGCAATGTGACAAAGGGTATCTTCACATCCATGGAACAATTGCTAGTACTTGTGTCGGTGCTCATGTGGAAAATGGATGATGAGTTGGCCTTCTGAAATAGAGCGGCACTATTGTTGGAGGAATTGACATTGCCTCCACTGCTGTTTTTGAGAGACGAGGTGGTGGAGAGGAGGTTGTGGGTGTTGGGGTCAAGGCCCTGAGCGAGGAGCTTCTTCTTGATGCAGGAGTTCCAAAAGTTCTTGACCTCATTGTCGGTCCTACCGGGCAAGTGCTTGGCTATCTGAGACCACCTGTTGCCAAGAATTCGGTGCACGTCGATGATGGTCCTCTCTTCTTGGGCAGAGAACGAACCCCTTTTCAGGTCAGGCCTCAGGTAGTTTATCCACCTCAATCTGCAGCTCTTCCCACATCTCTGCAACCCTGCTTTATTTTATATCCAACTATTAATTGAATCGGAAGAGCAAAGAAGAAGGGTAAATACTAAAGGAAAAGTAAGATGCAAGGTCTGGATGGTATTGATCATCGTGCCTGCTAGTTTAGGGACAGAACTCCAGCTGCCGTGGCCATGAGTGGTGATGAAGCGCACGAGCTTCTCGTCTTCTTCGGGAGACCACAACCCTCTCTTCACCTTCTGTTTGGTGCAGCAGTGGTGACCCATCTATTGATCCTTCTCTGTTCTTCTCCTCTTCTTCCTCCTCCTCCTTCCCGTTCTACATAACACACTCAGGTTCAGTTGATCAACCTGGAGTGTGCACAGGTGGGTGGGGTTTCTTATATTTTCCTCCAGTTTTATTAGGGAAAGTGGACCTTGGTACAAAACCTTATCAAATGTTTGCTCTAAACAAGGCTTTTCTTTTCGTGTATGATGAGAGAGAGAGAGAGAGAGATGTGCTGGAAATATTTAACTTAGGGTATACTCATGACTCATGAGAGGACCACTGTCTGATCTCTCTCAATTGAGTGTTTTTTACTTTGTTTCTTCAGAGTAGAGTTCCACTGTTCCACAATGTTCCATCACCCTCCATTATTATTATTGAACGTGTTTTAACTGAATTAACTTGATTTTAGACCTTCTATACTTGACTTGCCAGTCGCCGGCTGAGCTTTCTTCTCCTTTTGTCTGAATGTTTTCGCTACTGTTCTTTCATGCCTATCTGTACAAAACAGTACCCTCAGTAGCTTAGCTTAGCTTAGCTAGGAGCTTAGTTCTGTTTCACTTCTACTAAAATTCCATGAGAAGAGTAGTTGTGCAACATCCAGCTTCAACAAGCATGCTCACTTCATTCATTTTTAGAATTATCAAAACCCTTTGTTCTCTATTTGTATTTCTACACCCATTACTCGGCAAAAAAGTAATCTTTTTATTGTCATATCGCTCTAGCCAACTTTCTCTTTTCATCTTTCAATAATACCATTGAATGCACCTTGTATATCCTCATTGACTCCACAAGTACAATGCTATCCTTGCATCATAAAAATTATACGAAAAAAGCTATCAAAAATCCTAGATTATGCCCATTGTGATACATTTACTCTATATTTTTTTTCTGTGACACCAAAAGTCTCAAACTTATACCTATATGACATTTTTTGTGGCTTTTTTCCCAAAATTAAAACACCTCTCTCTCTCCCCCTTGAATCTGATAATCTCCGGGCATAACTCAGCCCCGCCACCAAGCACCACCGCAACCTCCGATGTTGATGTCAACGGCTCCCCATCTTATATAAATAGTGAGAGTAGATGACTAATGACTATAAAGCATGGTAACAAGGCCCTTTGCTCCAATTACTCATCTATTCTGCAGAATAACATGTCATGATTGGAAGAAAGACAGCCGAATATTGATGGTTTAAGATTGTGAAAAGCCAATTTTGGGGGGAAGACCTAATAATGTTATAAAGAGAGGCCCCATCATTTTGCTGCCTGCCTCCAAATTTGACATACAGAAGAGAAGCATCTACCCAAGCGCCCCCCCCCGCTCTCTCTCTCTCTCTCTCTCTCTCCACCTTACACACTCTCTCTCTCTCTCTCTCCACCTTACACAAGCATTTGCATTAAATAATAAGAATTAATGAGGAATTGGCCAACACATCCATCCTTAGTTTACTCAACCGTTGCTTCATTTGTCATTTTCTTGGTGTCGAAGAAGATTGAGATGATTGGGTTAATCTTGCTTTCCATGTTCTTTGCCCTTCTCTTTTCCTTCCTCCTTTCTGTGGAGGAGGTGCTCATCCTATAGAATTCCCCTGCGGAGGAAATCACGTAGAAAAGCAACCTACCCTTTTATGAATGTCGATTTGACTTCCCTTGTCAGATATCATTACCCTCATTTTTGGAGACCCCCCCATACCGACGTGTTCCGGCTTCCTTATTCTAATTGGCACACACGTGTCGAATGTGCTGGCATGTCTCCCTGCTGTCTTTTTCTATCCCTCGCTGCACTATAAGGGCAGGCTGAATTGATATATGCATGGCCAAAACGAAAGCATACCTTTGAAGCATGATACATCTGTTGAGGAGTAGATATTAATAGGTGAATATAGATACTTGGGTTGTTAAAATTGATTTGCTAAATGATGTGATAGACTCTTGTCGAATGATGAAAACATGGATCATCATGAAGCATCATTCAAAAATTTCAATACGGCGGGCACAAGTGTCGTTATAACAATTTGCAACAAGCGACTGGATATTGAAATAAACAAAGAGGCAGAGGAAATGATGCAATAGATATGCACGGTTCGGTTTGTTCAACCGACATTCACTAGAGAGCAAAATAAAAAATTCTATATTTAGATGTAGCAATACAACGAACATTGAACCACACTCGAGAATCGCATGAAAGTGTTTCCCTACTCCTAAAATTACACCTCAAGGTGCCCCCTCAGTGTTTTATTTCACAATCTCTTTCAAAGAACTTCACGTGCAAAAAACCCTAAATACTTGTCACCTTTGGATAGACTTAAGGCAATAGGAAAATTACAATTTCAGTCCTAAACTACGGATTTTAATTCAATCTTAAACATTTCAATTGAATCAATGTAGTCCTAAACCTTGGAGTGAAATTGCAATAAAATCCTCCTAGCCAAGTGTCACATGAAATTTCTGATGTGGCAATCTAATCATCACCTATCATCCTACGTGTCATTGCTAGCCACTTGACGTGGACAACTTTACTCAAAACAATGCCATTTTGCTTATTGTGGCCGCTGATGAGCCAAGGGGTCAATTGAGACACATTTCACTACTTCAGGGTGTTAATGAAGTATTTGCGCAATGTGCAGCATGTCGCAATGTTTTTTGGAACGTTGCCACACGTTTTTAACTAACTTCGTACAATAATACTAATCGGGCGAGTGAAGTATCTCATAAAAGGGTATCTAGATTTCAGCTTTGCAGGAATGAGCTAACATGTTGATTTCAAAATTGTCCAAAAAATATCTCTAATTCTTGTCGCAAGTTTTCAGATACTAAATTTGTTAGGGTACAAATTTGAGAGTCAGTCCAATTTCAGAATCCAAAAACATAAATGTTTGTAGTGAAAAGGACCAATCAATATAATCAATTAGATGGCTTATATAATTGACTAAATTGATAAAGTTGGGTCCAATTAGGTATATGAACGAGGTAGTTTATTACTTGAATTCCGTTGCACATCTCAATGACACTTAAGGTCGAAAATGAATTGGCAATGAGATTAGGACTTTGTACCCTTTAAATGTACAAGTCTCAATATAACAAGGATGTAATCGCTCACAAACCCTCTACCGTAATGTGGATGATTTGCTTTTGATTGGACCGATGATGAAAATCGAGAGCACATAAGGAGCGAAAAACCAACTTAAAATGCCACTCAACCTCGACACTAAACAATGAAACCAAAGCTGTATACTTAATGTATCACGAGGAACAGGAGCAAAAAAGACAGTTGCTTCTAGGTCATCAATGGTTGTGCGCTTCACGATGAATGAAGATTGACTAAGATGTGATAAATGGCGAGAAACAATTCACCAATATCTGCCGACAGTCGCATGATCATAGCTTTAGACCCTTTTCCATGGTCGAAAAGCAGAAAAAACCCCAATCGATTGTGTATTCCCCACTTGTAAAGCTATCTCTACCGTGAATCACTCAATCATTCCCCCCCTTCCATTCAGCTTCCTCCTCCTCCCTTTCAGTTCAAACCCCAAAAAACAAGAAAGGTGGTCTTCTGCTGTCTGGTGTCTACAGTCTGATCTTGATAGGGGAAGGGGAGAGATTCTCTAGGGTTATCTATCCAGTATAGGGTTTTGCATAAAATATAGAGATAATGCTTTTCGTACGTGATGGTGTTACTTGCTTTACCCATAGATATTTTTGTCGCCTTCGAGCGGGTTTGGGTTACACACCCAGTGCAGCCAAAGGAAAATGGAGCAGCAAGAAAGACCTAAAAAATAATATTATATCAGCTGTCGTTTTCGTTGATGACTAATGTATGATGAATTTTCGTGGCTATTGACATTTCCATGCTTCACGTTTCCATCCAATAAATATGTACGAGAATAGACATCTGATTCACAAAAGGGTCGTGCTTGATATTCTGGTAAGCTAACTAATCTCGGTACAAAAAGATAATTATAATACAGAGGCATTCTCCGTAGGGTTCATGGCCGGTTTCATAAGTTAACTTCCCAATTCCATTTTCCTACAAGAACCAAATGTTTGGCCGTGTTCGATGGTGAAAAACACACCAAGTGCTTGTTTTTGTAACAAATGCCGGGTTTACTTAACGTTGAATTATTAATTTACTGAGTAATGTATCATATTGCTATTGGTCGTTGAAGGAGACCCAATTCAAGTCCGACCGACTGTTTAGTTAATAACTCTTTACCATCGCTCTTTTTCTTATTTCTTAACAAGCAATGCTAGGGATACCAAGACTTGTCCACTAAATTGGTTTAATGAATGATATAATATAGTATGTTATTAATAAATATTAAGTGGACCTGTTCAAGCACAATGAGTGTACATCATTTAGTAGATAAATCTTGTATACGGGCCTTAATAAATCTAGCAATATTCTTAGCCATCTATGTGAAGAAATTTTTTCTTTTCTTTGACAAGAAAGTCCACCTTAATGATGATATTGTTGAATTACAACATGTTTGGTTGCAGTAATGGTTATCACATTACATAAGTATTACAAGTTGACTATCTATTACAGTGTTTGCTTGCAATAATAGATATTACACGGATCCCCTACATAGTATCTATCATAGTAATAGCTATTATTGCCTGGTTGTCATAGCTATTGCCAAAATAACTACACTTATTTTTATTATTGTTGTAAGGATAACACCTATTAATTATTTGACTCAGTCACCTATTATAAGATTAATGATTAAAATATCAAATAATAGGTAAATAATTGAAGTAATAATAATTATGTTATCTTGATATATATATAGTTATTTGTTCACTAAATGTTATCATAATATAATAATTAGCATATTATTATTTGCTCAGTATTAAGGACGATTATTAATATTTCATAACGTAATATTATATTATTCATACTATGATGTTTATTGTGATTACTAACTATATTCATTGATGTCAAATTGTGATTCGATAAATTTTTCAATCATACTATTAATTATGTGGTAAATTTTTTTTACTATAATCACAAATTTTATGATTAAAAAGTAAAGCATAACCATTAAATCATTATTAAATAATAGATAAAATAAATGGGGAATTGGACTCACTATTGGCTATTAAAGTGATGATTACTATACTAAAAAATTATTTTAATATGATCACATGATAGGTGCTTAACTTTTAAATACAATAATAACTAAACACTTTATACAAAATTGTATGGAGTAATTTACATGCGGTATTAAACTCATGAATCATGGTTAACTATTAGAGCGATAATCATAACGGTCCCTCTAATTATGTTAATTTGTGAATTCCGATGCCGTTTTCCCCTAACTCTACACGTTATTCACGAAACCAAGCAGCGTGATGGGTATTGCGTTACTTAAACCAAACCACATAATAACTAATGTAGTATCTAATCTTGCCCTTTGTTCTTGCAATATATTTTTCTTCCCGTTGCGTGCTTGTACACAAAGTCGTGCCACAACTGCCTATTGCCAGAGACACGAAGGGATAAAAGAGTGCAGAGAAATTCTGGAAGCAGAGCCTCCAAGTTTCGTACGCAGCAGCCGCCACTACACTAAAGATATAGGAAGACGACTTAACAAGCCAGTTGAAACTTGAGGACCATTCATCAATCATGGCGTATGATCAAGCGACGAAAGACCCATGGAGGCAAACACTCGGTCAAAGCATTGTATACAAGTATAACCCTAGTTTGTATTCTTTGCATGCTGAACAAAAACCAAAGATAGTCATGAGTCATGAGTCTATATATAGAAATCTTGAAGTGTAGATCTGCTTAATAACTTGTGCACTCCATCATCGAATCTTATTTTTTCAAATGGGTGTGAAGCGCAAGAAACAACCATCCATTTCATTCAGCCTCCCCCCAGACGACTCCGTCGTCACCGAGAAGCTACCGTCCTCGCAGAGGGAGATCGAGTTTCTACACTGTGGCCGCAGCATATTTAGCTGGAAGGAGATTGATTTCTGGGGTAAAATATGCAGATGCGTGAAGATGCGATAGGCAAGAGATCTGGTTTATTAGCAGTAGCGATAGAGATGAGCTTTAGCTGCTGGATCTTTGGCTTCAGGTTTACTCCTTTCATGTATCGTCCCATCAATCCAAAAGCTTGTCGAAGCAGCCAGGGAAAATGGATGATATTGAAACGTTGTCGACTTTTTAATAAGAGGGTGAATGCAAAAGTCTCTTTGCATGCCTTTTACTTCAAGAACCCCAGCTGGCCTGAAAATAAAGAACTGAAAATAAAGAATAAAGGCATTCACTCCTAAATCAGCTATCATATATATTTATATATTCTTTGATCACTTTGGGGGCAGCAAAGGCTTCTCGGGGACGAGTTCAATTTTTGGAAAATCGACGACTAATGGACCATGTCTACATCCAGCTTTTGATGTCGAAATCTACGCATCGAGGGCTACCCATCTTTTTTTGCCGTTTATGTTAATAGAAGGTCGTATCTAGGGCCGTCTTGTCCGTATGCATGGTCAACATTAAACTTGATATATATCATAGATACTCACAAGCCGTCTTGTCCATATGTATCGAATAAGACTCCACTCGTAAGGTGTCACTTACGTTATTTTTTAATGGAAGACGGGTTTACCATGGAACTTTGGTTTCACAAACGTTTGACCACTCAATCAACTCCTTTCGGTCGGACAACTCAATTTTGTCTTAGAGAGATTCAATTTTCCCCGTAGGTTACTGGTATTAATCAATCATGAGCTAGTCAATTTTGTTTTAGAGAGATTCAATTTTCACCAAAAGCCCAATCCAAGAGCCAATCGATTGGATTGAGTATGATTTTGGTGATGGATGGGTGATGGCCAAGGGATGGGCCTTGTAAGCTTGGGCTGAATGAAGCGCATGAGCCTGTGTTGGATCCAGTTCCTTAGTTTTGATCAGATGAAGAAGATTAATTATTGTCCACAGAAACCAGAAATATCGAAGCCTATCCATATACTTCCACCTTCCTGTCCTTCCTGCTCGGTGGGTTAATGGCATTGAGCAGCTGTTCCTGTTCGCTGCCGTTGTCGCCACTGCCGCCGGGGACTTTTGATCCCTGTAGCCTCGCGAATACTAGAAGTGAAGTGTCATTCGTCACCAGAAACAATGTTGATGAATCCGGGAACACCAGCAAAAGAAGCAGCTCGATCGGGCCGAAGCCGAACTTGTTGAGCACCACTACCGGAAGAAGAGAAGCTATTGGGATGATGGGGTTAGGCCTTGTGGAGCTCATTGCCTGGCAATTCCCGTGGCAACCCCGGATTGCAGAAGCAGCAGAGACGGCGCCGTGCGAGCTGACGGTGGCGCCTTCGGGGCTCGCCTATTGCGACAAAGTGGTGGGCACCGGTCCTGAGGCTGTCAAAGGACAGTTCATTAAGGTTACGAGTCTCATGACTTGATTTCGTTCATTTTCCTTTCTTGGTTCCTTTGGAGTAAAGAATATGAGTAGAGACAAAGAAAGCAATTGCAGGCGCATTATGTGGGGAAATTGGAGAACGGGAAGGTGTTCGACAGCAGCTACAGTCGCGGCAAGCCTCTCACTTTCAAAGTCGGGGTCGGCGAGGTACTCCTCATCCTTTTCCGGTCCGTCTTGAGCTCAGTGAGGGAGTGATTCTCAATTCAGAATTACCTAAGCTAGCTAGTATTGTATGGGGAATTTGGTGTAGGTGATCAAAGGGTGGGATGAAGGCATTTTAGGTGGGGAGGGAGTGCCACCCATGCTTGCTGGTATGAAATTCCATCTGATGTGATGATCCAACACATTCTTGCACATCTGTCTAAATACCACATGATTACAGGCGGAAAACGGATCTTAAAGCTACCTCCGGAGCTCGGCTATGGCATGAGAGGAACTGGTTGCAGAGGAGGTAAGGTCCATTGATTCATCAGGACAGCCCCGTGATCATCAGTAACAAGTTTCACTCAGCTCAATCTTTTGTGGCGCAGGATCATGTATCATTCCTCCCGACTCTGTGCTCTTGTTTGACGTCGAGTTTGTCGGCAAAGGTTGACGAGGTGAATGCATCGCCGGCAAATATCACAAACACAGAGGGGTGTTGGAGATTTTTCTTGACATGTAAATCGGGATCTTGAGTGATGCCGTGCCGGTTTCTGTAAAGGCTCTTCTAGCGTCTTGTTTCACTTCATGGTCATGTATATCTGAACTCGTCATGTTTTACATCTGCAGACTCATAAACATAAGTAATTGAAATTGACAGAAATTGATGCATGCATAAACAATGAACCGTATAATCTATTTCGGTGACCAACAAGATGGTGCAAAATGAAAACTAGGCTTGCCCAAGATGCATTCATAGTTGTATAAAACACCCGAAAGGCCGAAACATGCGAAGAACCAAAGCAAAGCTATACCGTTTAGAGGTGGAAGATCGAAACGAAAATGGAGAAAGTGGTGCATATTTGCAAGTCGCCACATTCGTCCGCAGTTCAAAACCCAACATAATAAAAATGGGAAAATCTCAAAATACTATCATCATAAGATTAAAGTCACGAAATTTTTCAACATATGGTATATTGCCAATTGTGAGATGACATTAGGGCAGGGTGCAAACATGGCATCTGCCTGCTATGGCTAGAATTATAATTTAAATTAGGGAAAATGACACAAACAGTCCCTGAACTTTGACTCAATGTGCAATGTGATCCATGAACTTTTAATCTGTTCAATGTGGTCCCTAAACTTTAACCCAATGTGGAATATGATCTCTGAATTTTTAATTTGTTCAATGTCGTCCCTGAACTTTTGATACATGTTTAATTTAGTCCCTGAACTATATAAAAATATTCAATGTAGTTCTTTTATTAACTCAAGTTCAGGGACTACTTTAAACTTTTAGGGATCACATTAAATAGATTAAAAGTTCAGGAACCACATTGAACATTAGGCTAAAATTCAGAGACTACATTGAACAAATTAAAAGTTTATGGATCACATTACACATTGAGCCAAAATATAGGGACCGTTTGTATCATTATCCCTTCAAATTACTCGTTACCGATGCACCTGCACGTCGTACATGCTCGTAAATTCGAAATTAGCCTAATGAGTTTGTGCAAGTGATAAGATAATTAGTCATTTTCACTCATTGTCGGAATTTTTTTTCGACTAGCACTTGAATCCACTCAAGCATAGTGCACCCACATTAGATCGACAATGAAGGCCTCCTCATCAATTGTAAAAGATCAAATTGGAAAGAAAAGGGCTTGGAAATAAATACTCATGGTCTCTCCATCTGAAATACCTATGCGAGTATGAATATGTGATTTTGGCGAATTCCTAGGGTCATTTGCGAAAACAGGAAAAAAAGCATTGGGTGTCAAATGGAATAATATTGTAATTGTAGGGGCGAAAACGCAATTTTGTCAAAGTAGCTAGCCGCAAGATGAAAACCTATATAAAGTGGCCTGGCGAGTAGCTACCGGTTCGGCGCTTCTTCTTCTTCCTTCCTTTGCTCGGGCGCAGAAACGAAACCCTAGCTCGCCGGCGCGGCTCGTCTTCGTGGAGGCCCTTGTGGTGTTGCAGTTGCAGAGAGAGAGAGAGAGAGAGAGAGAGAGAGAGAGATGGCGAAGTCTATGAGATCGAAGAGGGAGAAGAGGCTGAGAGCCATCCGGAGGGAGATCGTGGAGCCCTTCTACGACAACAAGGACGCCGCGAAGCTCGCCGCCCAGGAGGCCGCCCTCGCCGCTCCCAAGCTCCCCGTCCCCGCTCTCCCCAATTCCAGTTCCGGTTCCATGGAGGGCGCCGCCGCCGCCGCCTTCGCCGCCGCCACTTCTTCCATGGGTACGTGGTCTCTGCTTCGCCTTGTGTCTTAGTTCTTTGTTGTTGTTGTTGTTGGTGTTGGATTCTGAAGCGAGGCTGTGTCGTAGCTCCGGCGGTACTGTTGCTCTGTTTTCTGTCGTTGTGTCTGAGTGTTCGAGTGGTTAGTTTACGATCTTTCGGCGGTTTTGGTTTGATGGTATTTGGGGAATGTAGTTCCGTAGCTTCCAATTCGGCTGCTGAATCAAACATACTCATCATACATTGTTGTGGAATTTGACTGTGAATTGGGTGTGATTGAATTCACAATGAAGTCATCGTTGCTGAATCTCACTGATGCGGTCTCTAGTTCATCTTCTAGAGTTGAATAGTTCATGAATTGGGCTGTATCCTGCATTTCTTGCCTGAAGGATTAAGTGGAGATTTCAGTGATTCAATCGTGAGCTGCGACCCCTGCTTTACTCGAAAGGCAAGCTTTTAGGGAGGTAGAATAGCTCAATGCTACGGTAGTGTGCCATTGTGAATGCACATAATGATTTGAGGAGGGGAGTTCTCTCATGCTGAAAGATCCTTACACTGTTTTCCGTTTCTTGCAGCGCGCTCTTCTGCTTTATTTCCTCCTTTTATGCATGCCTATGACCTGTTCTGACTGACTGTGTTACTAGGACATGAGGGACATCTGTCAGATTTTAGCTGAACAAATCTGTTCCTGTTTCCTATTAGAAAGTTGGTGGCTAAAAGACCGGTGAAGGAAGTCAATTGTATTCTGCAACTATATGCATAGTGAATAACTCTGTTCTGCTTTTAACAAATAATTCTTTTTCAACTCCTAGCCAAAAATTGCTCCAAGTTCTTGTTAGAACTTCTGCGTGCACTGTGACCAGTGGTTCTTTTTACATTCTTGCATACAATTGTCCTAATTTACTGGCTCGGACTCAACTAGGGTTGACAAATGAAAGGATCCTAAAGAAGGGAAATAAGTCTTCAGCGCTGAGATCGGAAGGATCAATTGTATTTTCACTTGGTTGGAACAAGATAATAATTTGCCTTTGCCATTGTAGTATCAACTATCAACTCTCTGCTGTAGCTTCTTTCGTGGTGGTTAGATTGTCTGAATGATTTGGTGCTTGAACAGATGTAGAAATGGCTGATGGCAATCAAAACAAGAGTTCCTTGAAGCCAGCTGGTGGTGTAGGGAAGAAATCCAAGAGGAAATTCAAGGTGGGTAAAAACAAGCGCCGCGGTAAGGGCAATGTCAGGAGAAAGCGCAACATTTGAACGCCCTTTGGAGGAAAAATCGTCCCGTATCGAAGGTTTTTTGGCTGACTGGACCTGGGATAAGCTTTCCTAATCCAAGGATGAGGCTTACTTATGCTGAGTTCATATGTTTTTAACAATCTAGTAATAGTGTGCAAAAAGTTTGGTGGGGAGAGTTATGTAACCAAAATGCAATTTTGTCCCTAGTACTTGCAGAGTTTTTGTTAGAATTATGTATCCTGAATGAAAAATGAGAATTTCTACGTCTGTTGCAATTTCTGTTAGTGGGTATTCTTCTAAAGAAACTGGCATACTATCCCCTGTACATATATTTGCAGTTTCAATATTTCTTTTTTTTTTTTTTGGTCGAAACAGTTTCACTATCTGTTACTAGGTAAAACATTTAGTGTTTAGGGGACCTACAAATCTCTAGGGCTAGTGATGAATGTAATTCTGATGAGCCTCCTGCTATCAAGATTGTGATAAAGAACATCGAATGTCTCCCACTTTTCACCAAGGACCAGGAGGACCATCGGCTTGTCGAATTCTATCTTAGTGGGGCTGACTTCTGTGACTTCAGCAGACAGTGCAGATTGCTTCATGGGCCTAAAATCCATGAATGGTATAAACTTGAATCTTTAATTGGGCCATCCATTTGACCAAACCAGCCCCATCGTGATAGCAATGGCAAAGATCAGCCTGCCATGGGAAGACTCTTACATAGCATGGAGCTAGATCTTTTAAACGGGTGGGTGGGTTGGGTTAGATTTGAAAATGATCGTACCCAAATAGACTAATTTAACTTGTTTTGACCTTGTAAATCTAGTGATCCATATCCAATCAATACCAGACTTAGAACACTTACATATTTAATCAAATCTAGGAAAATTCATACCCAACTGAAAGGTGACAGTGCGGAGTTAGTGAATGTAAGATCAAGTGTAGGCGAAAGAAAATGAAGAGAGATTAGTAAACGTGGGTTGGATCTAAGTAAGTTGTAAACTTATTTATAACCCATTTACGATTTATTTATGACCCATCCAGCACTCATATCGAATTTAAACTCATTAATGACCTATTTATTATATATAACTAACTTATATAACAACTCAACCACTCGTACATGAGTTGGGTCTAAGTAAGTTATAAACTCATTTATAACTCATTTTCAACTTATTTATGACCCATCCAGTACCCATATCAAATTTAAACTCATTAATGACCTATTTATTATATATAACTAACTTATATAAAAACTCAACCCGTCGTATATGGGTTAAGAAATGACTTTATGACATATTTTGACCGGTTTACACGGAGCTCACGCCTTCATACTGTTTTAAAAATCGTATAGATCCAATCGATGCGATATATAAATCATACTTAAATTTAACCCATACACACGCAATTTGAACTATTAAGAAGGTTGTTTCAAGATGACGAGTCCTTCGTTCTACATCCGACATTCCGTCCATCTTACGCTCATACTAATCTTCTCATGATCTTTCGCGATTGCTAACTTTGATCGAGCAGGTCCTTCATCAAAGTCTTCATTGACCGAGTCCCCAATTAAAACTTGACAAAGACCTGTCTCTGTCAATCGTCAATCGTCATTCATTGCCGTATGGTCCGAGCCCTCCCCACACGCACGCACTAGACTTTGCCCCGACACGCACGTAGAAGAACCCCTTGGAGTCTTCCAAATCCTGCGACTTTTATACAGCATTTCCACGTCAACTCAACAATTGATGTCGCCAACCCTAGTTTCTCAATCCAACATGCACACACCCCTTTTAGAATATAGTCTCCTTTAAAATTTATGCATACCAAGAAAGTAGAAAATGCTTTCTTTTACTCCCACAACAGATCCAGAAGCATAAACAAATCGGATTGACTTCACCAAGAAAACAAAAAAAGGTAAAAAGAACAAAAGGTGGTATGAGAAAGAGCGGATTGACTAGACTTACCTAGTTGCATCACAATGGCCTTCCCAATCAGATTTCAGGGGCGTGCAAGATAATCGAGTCGATTCGCGACACGTGTTCCTTGCACCCTCAACCTGCAATTACCCTCGATATGATTCTACCATTCATTCACCCTTTTTTCAATCTTATATGTATTTTTGGTAGGAATTGTGGTGTGGTTATAATCCATGGGGATGGAGTTGTCACGAGCACCCTAAGTCGGGGTTTTCTTTTTCATTTTGCTTTCGGTTTCACCAAGTGGAGTCATCTTTTCTGACTTTTCCGATAGTGATGTTGATGATGAGGTAGGAATCAATCCCTGATGCTAGGAACCTGCTTGGCTTGGACTAATCTTTCTCAGGCAGGATGAGAGTAGTAACTGGGAAGGAGGACGAGAACAATTTTAGGCTTGATTGATCAGCAATTCTGGATGGGGATGGCGTGAATCTGATGAAACCCGAAAGAAAAACGGGGTGTGGGGGATAAGGTGAAAGCAAAGTGAACGCTTCAGACAGAAAGTGGGATTTCATCTTTATGACTAACCAAATGAAAAAAAAGGTGGGATCATTCTTTCTCTCTCTCGAAACATATTACAAGCAAACGAGTTGCACGCTACTTGCGGACTGTTTTCTTTTTTATGAACGTCTAGTGTGCTGTAGAGAAACTTCATCTAGGCTCGTTGCTGCAACAATACCATCTGTTTTGGGCCATGGCTCACTCGCACCTACACTAATTTAAAACATTTTTATGCTACTGCAAGGATGTAACTTTAGAGACGTATCTACTAGCGTAGTAACCGAAACATAGGTAGTCCCATGTATTAGGTCCGAATAAGCAATCAAGAGAGGGGGTGAATTGAATTTTTTTTTATATTAAAGAAAACATAAACTAATTTCTGTAGAAATAACTCCGATAAAATATTGTTTCCACGCGTAAAATGAACTGGCGATAAAAGCAGCGACACAGTCAACGGGTTTAGGGAGGCAAAAATTGCAAACGAGATTTATAGAGGTTCTGCTCGACTATGCCTACTCCTCTCTTTGTGGCACTAGCAGCCCAAATATGCTGAGTTCCACTAGTTAAACCACGAGTACAAATACCGCCTTATTACTAGTGTAGAACTTGCTGCCATGCGGAACCTGACCAATTTCTATAGTTAATTATTTTGCGATCTTTTGCATAAATAATTATGGAGTATCATACTTTATTGCTGTGAGCTGGTTCTTCGATTTAAAAACACTAATGATCATCAAATTAACATACAAAAAAGTGCCCAACGATCAAGTCTTGCTGTTTTGCAGAACCATGATTTTTGTGCTGCACCCTTTCCTTCTGTAAATTTCCAAACATAACAAAATTTGATTCAAATGCTGAAAGAATCAAATCCCTAGCTTCTGCATGATTTAAAAGTGAGTCTCTGCACACTGAATTGAGCCTATTAAATGCTTAGAATTAAGTTCCGTTACCATCAAAATCTTTCGGGGATAATTCCCAATACAATGTCTTGATTCAGGCTCTGGTACCTTAGTGGGGGAGATTACTGAAAAAGCCATAAACCTATTGCACTTACGCCAATTTAATCATAAACCTTTCAATTTGGCCAATTGAATCCTTCTGGCAAATTTTGGCCGAAAATTACTAACGTGGACGCCAGTCGTCCTACGTGCCATAACCGGCACTAATGTGAACAATTTTTTAAAAATATTTTTTGAATTTTGAATTTTTTTCTTTTCCTTTTTCTTTTCATTGTGGTCGGCGAGGTGAGGGGATCCTCGCCCAGTGGCCGGTGATGGTCGTTGGCGACCTTCGTTGGCCAAAATGAAAGAAAAAAAGAAGAAAAATGATAAAATTATTCAAATTTTTTTTAAAAAAATTGTCTATGTCAACACTGACTAAGCCACATAGGATGGTTAGCGTTTATGTTAGCGATTTTTGGCCAAAAGCAGCCAAGAGAACTCAATTTGCAAATTGTTTAAAGGTTTATGACTAAATTGACTAAAATTAAAACGTTTAGGATTAAATTGGCACAATCGCAATAAATTTGAGATTTTTTTTTGTAATTTTCCATACCTTTGTTAGTAGCCCCATTAGGGTCCATCATTAGTGTGATACTGTTCATTCTAGTCGCAGTCCACCGGTGCTTGCATGACCTTAAAATGCTTCATGTCATCTAAAGCTTCATTTACCAACCCAACAGATCTGATACGAGTGATACGAGATAAAGGAGATATATTGAAATTAATAAAGGAAGTCATTGGGTGCTCATGGCTTTGGCAAAGAATAGAATCACACTGATGAAGAAGCAGGACCTTCACGAAAATCAGATCAAATCAAATAAGCAAGAAAGGCAAAAACAGGGGATGGTTGAACAGAAGGGCAAGTGCAATGAGATGGGAAGAGATTTGAAAAGTACAAGTGGCTGAGCTGCACCAAGCACGGTCGTTGGGCTGACTCCGTCCACCACCCTCCCTTTGCTTCTCTCTCTTCCCTCCTTCCTCCCTTTTTCTTTACGTCACAGCTACATTTTTCATATATATATTATACATTTATACATATATATTTCTTATCACAAGGACATCAAGCTACCCCAGGTGAATCTCTCTCTCTGTCTCTCTCCTAAGTCTGTCCATTAGTCAACTAACTCCTTCCTTCTTCCTTAAACTTCCCTCTCACTGTTTGATACGAACACCATTACGTTTGCATCAGAAAAGAGCCTCCAATCCATCCCACACCCACCACCATGGCTCTGCTCGGAGCCCTGCTTCTGGCGTTTGCGTTGGCCGCGAGCTCTGCTTGTTGGGCTCACTTCGTAGTGGAGAAGAGCAGCATCAAGGTCCTTTCACCGCTGAGCATAAGGTCGAAGCACGATGGAGCCATCGGCAACTTCGGAGTGCCCAAGTATGGAGGCATCCTGGTTGGCTCTGTGGCCTATCCTGGCAAGGATGTTTCCAATGGTTGCGAGGCCTTTGATGGTGATAAGCCCTTCAAGTCCAAGTTCTCTCGACCCACCATCCTCCTTCTTGACCGTGGAGGTAACTGCTCTCTCTCTCTCAAATTCTTAGATGTGTCCGTGGAGTTCCTTTCTGTGTTTTTGTGAGAGGCATCGCTTCAGGCACAGCTATGTCTCCTCGCTGATTGGTCTTCTTGGTGCTAAAAAGTGATGCTTTATTACCCACTTTAGACCTCCTGATCATTGTTGCTTAGACTAGTTACGTGGGATCATAGTACTTTGCTGGCATGAAAAGATCGATTCTATTGGTTTGCTTCAACAGTGATAGAAATCAGAAAGACAGATCTTGTTCTTGATTTCCGTGGACAGTTCTGTTTGGCATGGCTTGCGGCTTAGATGCTAAGACAAACTTCTTGAATTCAATCCTGCTTCAGGTTGCTATTTTGCGAAGAAAGTGTGGAACGGCCAGCAGGCCGGAGCTGCTGCGGTGCTAGTCGCTGATAACAGAGATGAGCCTTTAATAACCATGGATTCGCCTGAGGAGAGCACTGACGCTGACGGATACATCGAGAAGATTGGAATTCCATCGGCTCTTATAGAGAGGTCGTTTGGGGAGAGCTTGAAGCAAGCGTTGAAGAAAGACGAAGAGGTCGTAATAAAACTGGACTGGAGAGAGTCCATGCCTCACCCTGATGAGAGAGTCGAGTATGAGTTCTGGACCAATAGCAATGACGAGTGCGGGAACCGATGTGATGAGCAGATGAACTTCGTGAAGAATTTCAAGGGCCATGCCCAGATCCTCGAGAAGCGTGGTTACACTTTGTTCACGCCTCATTATATCACTTGGTACTGTCCTCGGGCTTTTGTTGAGAGCAACCAATGCAAGTCTCAGTGCATAAACCATGGGAGATATTGCGCACCAGACCCGGAGCAGGACTTTGGGGAGGGATATGATGGAAAGGATGTGGTGTTTGAGAACTTGAGGCAACTCTGTGTTCATCGCGTCGCGAACGAGAGCAACCACTCCTGGGTTTGGTGGGATTACGTGACCGATTTTCACATCAGATGTTCCATGAAGGAAAAGAAATATAGCAAAGATTGTGCCGAGGATGTGACCAAATCACTTGGTGAGTTATGTTCCTGGGAATTATTCAGTTTTTCGCTTCTGTGACCATAATTGTGAATGAGCTTGACTATTTGGCCAGGTTTGCCTATTGATAAAATTAAAAGATGCATGGGGGATCCTGAAGCTGATGTTGAGAATGAAGTCCTGAAAATTGAGCAGGAGCACCAGGTAATGCATGGTCTTTGTTCCTCTTTCACAGTGCGTTTGAAATAAGTAGATTTTTCATAAGTTTCTTTAAAGCTAATGTAGAGACAAAAATACTAAGTAAGTTGTCTAATTATGTAATTGATATTTAGGTTGGCCGAGGATCTCGGGGTGATGTCACCATATTGCCAACACTAGTCATCAACAATGTTCAATATCGAGGTTTGTTTTGCAATTCTAGGTGTTATAGTGTGCTAGAGGATTGAATTTGTATGTTCTTCCCAATTGCTTGTGTAATCAAGCTGTTTGCATTGCTCTCCTGTGTCCATCCATAGCTACAGACTGATTCAGTATCTATGCTTGCCCAGTATCTATCGTTATATTCTAAAGTAAAATAAATGTGTACTTTATGAGGAAGTCATCTATTTGTTACTCTCTAGGAAAATTGGAGAGAACTGCTGTGCTGCAAGCCTTATGTGCTGGATTTAAGGAGGGGACGGATCCTCCAGTTTGTTTGAGTGCAGGTTAATCTTTGTATTATTGTGTCCTTCTCCCAGTTGATGACTTGCAGTTCAGTGTTCGCAATATTATCTGACACTTACTGATGGCTTGATGCTACTTCACAGATCTTGAGACCAACGAGTGCCTCGAAAATAATGGCGGTTGTTGGCAGGATGTCCAGTCAAATGTTACTGCTTGCAAAGTACGTTCTGAAGACCTTCCTCAAATATTTTGCATTTGTCCCCAAGTTTCAGTTTTGCAATTAAACCGAATCGTTACTTTTCCAGGACACATTTAGAGGAAGAGTATGCGAGTGCCCCAGTGTACAAGGTGTTCAGTACAAAGGAGATGGCTATATGTCTTGCGAAGGTACAGCTTTATTGCTTCACCAATGAGTGGCATATCGTAGACGTGTTGTTTTTGCCCCTGAAGTGTAAAGTATTCACTCATCCAACTATTTGAGCACGTGATTTAGAATGGAAAAAGGTAAAAGAGAAACAAGTTTTGGGTGCTAGTGAATTGTGATGACTTTGGTGAATGATGGGAATATCTAAATAGAGACGGAGAAAATATTTCTGGTTGGTTTGTGCCAAAGTTTGGAAATGTAGCTGATGACATAGTATTCAGCTATAAATTCACTTTTGCAAGCAGTGTTTTTGCACAGCCATGCTTCCGCGCCTACCTTGCTGTATTAAAGATATCGTTGCCTCTATTTAATCGAGTAAATTAGCTAACCAAGTGACCAAATAGTGAATGCATTAACTTAGTACTCACTCTTGGTTCATAAATGGCAGCATTTGGACCTGGACGGTGTGCCATCAACAATGGAGGTTGCTGGTCAGATGAGAAAAATGGGAGAACCTTCTCAGCATGCTCAGTTCAGTACTGTTACTTTTTTTTTGTTTGCATTAGTTTCTTTATTACCATTGACAATAACTTTACCTGCCACCAGAAGTTTCACTTGGTCTAACATATAACTTATCTCGCTCATTTTCCTTGTTCATATGAATAGGAGTCTCAATTGTCTGGATGCAGCTGCCCACACGGATTTCAAGGGGATGGTCACAAATGTGAAGGTGCGAAATTTTACCTATGTGACTTGAAAAATTATATTTACATAGTTATCTGTGACATCCACATACGTCAACCTTCTGCTATAATTGTTTAACAGATGTTGATGAATGCAAGGAACGTTCTGCTTGTCAATGCGATGGTTGCTCATGCAAGAACACATATGGTGGATATGACTGCAAGTGCAAAGGAAACCACATATATATCGCGCAGCACGATACATGCATTGGTAAGGCAATTGTGTTCTACTTGGGAAACCATTTGTGCGCTAGCCCAAGATCTGCAGAAAGCGGTCTTAAAAATCTTCTCTTTATTGGAAATGAGCTTCGAAAGTTGAAGTTTTGTACTGATCATGAAACTGCCTCTGCTTCTTATTTAAGCTATATCTTCTCTTGGTGAGAGAGAATTATGCATGATAGATGATAGTCATACATATATCCTGAAAGGCCTCACAAAAAAATGGAGATGAACCAAGAAAGTAGCTGGCATGGCCAGATTTATGTTCTTACCAAAAAGAAAAACTCCATAAACCTCTTATTCACAAAAAATTGTCACTTTGCTGACAATTCTACAGAGAGGAATGGCTCTAGACTTGGATGGTTCGTCACAGTATTGGTATTGGCAGCTGTAGCAGGTGTTTCAGTTGCCGGATATATCTTCTACAAATACAGGCTCCGGGTATGTGGAAAAATATATGATCAAGCAGATTTATATCCTTTTCTCTCACCTTGGCAATGAGCTGATATTTCGCTGAAAATTTGCACTTTGCAGTCTTACATGGACTCAGAGATCATGTCAATCATGTCTCAATACATGCCACTAGACAACCACCAACCCCCTGAAGTTCAAACAGATGTGCAGCCACTGCGAGGAGGAACAAGGGTGTGAGGTAAGTGACTCGACAAGTACTTCAATCCTCACCTCCCATTTTTGAGGAAGCCGGGCTTTACATATTAATCCTTGGGTTTCTTCTACTTTGGCAGGGAGAGACTATGCACACAATGCCATGTGAAAGCTGTGATGTGAGGAAATTGCTTCCTGCAGACGGCGAACTATATTTTTTCCTTGATCCATGGTATACAGTCCTTGTGAGAATTGGAGAGGGTGGGGTTTTGTTCATCATGACACACATTAGGATTCTGATAATTATACCACACAAGGAAAGTGTTGGCAGAACCCCACTTGTTCTGTAGATAAGAGTTGTTGAGTTGTATACATGTGTATCATATAAGCCTCAGTTGGAGGTTCATATAGAGATTTTATGCGATTAATAGATGTTAAAAAATAAGGTGAAAGAACCATAATGTACTTGAGCACTTACAATAGATGTATGTACCAAAGCACTTGCATTAGATCTATTCATCTTCCTTCTCTTACGCCAAGATGATGCTGATTACTGTTTATTGAGTTCCCTTTTCAATTCAAGTGCCCATTTCCGGCCTGAAATATGCAAGACATGCACTGTCCCTCACATGCACCACAGATTTCTTCGAGCCGCTTCTAATCTTCTTTTCCAGTTCATTAAAATTAAAAGATGATCTTTCTACCCCATGAATATGAGCAGACCAGACAAATCAACCACATGACAGCATACCGAGTTCAAGTACTTTATTGTTTATTTGGTGACCTTTTGCATGGAAAAAGAAGCATAATAGGCATAAGAACAATCTAAAAATTTTCCTACTTTACAATTGGCAATCTGACTCATGCCTGTGTGGGCTCATCTATAGACACGACTGCCAAAAGAAAACAACAACAAAGCAGGCAAAGCACGAAGCTAAAAGTTGTATAAAAGGATGAGGAGTGTTGCAGAGTGAAGGAAGCAAATTAGTTGCCTTTTTTCACAACTTGCTTTGGTTGTGCTTCAGCAGTTTCACCAAAACGTTACTCCTGTAGTGCTTAAGTATTGACTCTGAGAGAGAGAGAGAGAGAGAGAGAGAGAGAGAGAGATGCTTTCGTTGTGCTTCAGCAGTTTCACCAAAACGTTACTCCTGTAGTGCTCAAGTATTGACTCTGAGAGAGAGAGAGAGAGAGAGAGAGAGAGAGAGAGAGAGAGAGAGAGAGAGAGAGAGAGAGAGGGAGAGAGTACCAACTACTTCAGAGTTCTTTCCAAAACAAAAATCCAATTCTAATTGCATGTTACATCAATATCCACAGGAGCAAAGTCTCCCTTAATACCAAGAACACTGCTTTCTTACTTTCAGAATTTAACTACCTAAACTACAAACAGTTAGGGAAGATAAACCCTTCATTCACGTCTAACTTCCTCAGAGAATCTGTAGCAGTTAGTTGCTAGACAAAAAGTACAACAAATAAAAACCTCGTGCCGATGCACTAGCTAGTTACTACATAACAGCAGGCGGAACCAACTGTTGCAGCTGGTGGACAACATGTGACATCCTCAGTCTCATGGATGGCACATGCTGCGTGCAAGTGTAAACAAGGTCCACAACCTTTTGAATATCTCCAGCTTCTGGAATGTTAGCAGAAGAAGATGAAGATATGAGAGGATCTAATTGCTCTGGGTAGCGGTGAGCCTGCACCAGAGGTGTTGCCCATTCAAATTTACTTTGCCAACCTACAGAGTCAACTGCCTATGCAGGCCTACGCCCACTTATGATTTCAAGCAGAAGCACTCCGAAACTATACACATCACTCTTTGTCGTTATCTCATTTCTATACACGAATTCTGGGGCAAGGTACCCATGTGTGCCCCCAGCCATCACTGTCCTCTCATGCATCACTTCCCATGGCACAAACTTTGAAAGGCCTACCCCCGTTAGATGGGCTCCAAATTCTTCATCGAGTAATTACTGGTGCGAATATCACGATGCACGACATGTGGGTTGACCTTGTCATGCAGGAATCTGGAGGTAAAACAAAACCAAGTAAGATTCAGTTTACCAAGCTAAAGACAAGGAGAAGTAGGATTATGTTCATCATACAGGAATTTCTACTTCAAAGTAAAAATCTCGAAAAACATATGTTAAACTACAGTACAAAGTATGCAAGAAATTCAATCCTGTTTATTCCCATTGTTTAGATCAATGCCACACAGGGAATCATGTTCACATTATTTCTAGTCCAACTATTAGCAATCGATGTATTTGCTGTGCTTTCAGTTTTCATAGAAACCCACACTTCAAAGACCAATCTGAAGGTAGCATTGGAAAAAGAAACGAAAGACTCAATGAAGAGGGCAAGCATCTCAGAACCTATATATGATCATCTAAAAAGGGTTAGACTTGCGCAATTCCTTGAGCAAGTGTTGTGGCAATTTTCAATCTCATGGCCCAATCCAAGCTCCGGCCACCTCTTGGTATGTGGTGCAACCATCTATCTAGAGGCCCATTAGCTATAAACTCATAGACTATGTAACAGTCACCGTGATTGTAATAACATCCTTTGACCGCAACCAAATTTGGATGATGAAGTCTAGCAACTGTTCCAATTTCAGAATAAAACTCCTTTCACTGAAAAGTAGTCCTCTTCAATCTCGACTGCAACCTTAGAACCATCTGGCATACAAAATTTCTTTCAACTCCTAGCCAAAAATTGCTCCAGGTTCCGGTTAGAACGCGTGCACTGTGACCAGTACTTCTTTTTTCATTCTTGCATACAATTGTCCTGATTTGCTGGCTCGGATGAAACTAGGAGTTGACAAATGATAGGATCCTCAAAGAATAGAAATAAGTCTTAAGCTCCGAGACTGGAACCAGATAATAAGTTGCCTTTGCCATTGTAGTATCAACTCTCTGCTGTAGCTTCTTTCGTGGTGGTTAGATTGTCTGAATGATTTGGTGCTTGAACAGACGTAGAAATGGCTGATGGCAATCAAAACAAGAGTTCCTTGAAGCCAGCTGGTGGTGTAGGGAAGAAATCCAACGGGAAATTCAAGGTGGGTAAAAACAAGCGCCGCGGTAAGGGCAATGTCAGGAGACAGCGCAACATTTGAATGCCCTTTGGAAGAAAAATCATCCCGTATCGAAGTTTTTTTGGCTGACTGGACCTGGGATAACCTTCCTAATCCAAGGATGAGGCTTACTTATGATTAGTTCATATGTTTTAAACAATCTAGTAATGGTGTGCAAAAAGTTTGGTGGGGGGAGTTGTTCATGTTATGTAACCAGAATGCAATTTTGTCCCTAGTACTTGCAGAGTTTTTGTTAGAATTATGTATCCTGAATGAAAAATGAGAATTTCTACGTCTGTTGCAATTGCTGTTGGTGGGTACTCTTCTAAAGAAACTGGCATACTATCCCCTGTACATATATTTGCAGTTTCACTATCTGTTAGTAGGTAAAGCATTTCGTGTTTAGGGGACCAACACATCTCTAGGGCTCGTGATGAATGTAATTCTGATGGGCATACTGCTGTCAAGATTGACCGAGCATTGTTCGGGCCACTATGATAAAAATCACGGAATGTTTCCCACTTTTTGACAAGGACTAGGAGCCCAGGAGGACCATAAATACATCGAAAACTATCCTAGTGGGCTGTCTTCTTCTGTGACTTCATCGGACAGTGCTTCATGAGCCTAAAATGCATGAAGGGCATAAACTTGAAGTTTTGATTGGAGGCATTGAATCCTTCACCGATGGTTTGCGATAGCAAATGGCAAATATCAGCCCGCCATGGGAAGACTAATGCATAGCATGGAGCTCGTGCCTTCACGCTGTTTCAAAATCGTATGGATCTAGTCGACGCAATGTACAGATCATGCTTAGATTTAACCCGTAGATACGCAATTTGAACTATTACGAAGGCCATATTAAGATGACGAGTCTCTCATTCCACATCCGACATTCCGTCTACCTCACGCTCTTACTAATCTTCTCATGATCTTTCGACGATTGCTAACTTTGATCGAGCAGGTCCTTCGTCAAAGTCTTCATTGACCGAGTCCCAATTAAAACTTGACAAAGACCTGTCTATGTCAATCGTCATTCATTGCCGTATGGTTCGAACCCCTCCCCACACGCACTAGGCTTTGCCCCAACACGCACGTAGAAGAATCCCTTGGAGTCTTCCAAATCTGGTGACTTTGTACAGCATGTTCAAGTCAACTCAGCAATTGATGTAACCTACCCTAGTATCTCAACACAATATGCACACACCTCTTTCTAAAAAAAGTTAATATTACGAAAAACTTCAAATTGTTATATTTATAATAAATTTATTTCAAATTAATTTTTTGACCATCAAAAAATCTAAACTGATACACTTATAACAAAATTACCTCAAACTAATTTTTTGACCACAAAAAACTCTAAACTGGTATATTTGTGACAAATTTACCCTCTGTAAGTTTCCGTTAAATTGGATTAATACCACGAATAACCACAAACCGGTACACCTGTAACAAACGGAGGGTAAAACCCCAAATCGGTGCACCCGTCAACCGTCACATGTCATTTAACTCAACAATTTGATGGTAAAATTAATAGAAACCAACGGAGAGTAAATTTGTCATAAGTGTATCAGTTTTGGGTTTTTGATAGTCAAAAAATTAATTTGGGGCTAATTTGTCACTGATGTACCAATTTAGGATTTTTCGAGATATTAACCCTTTTATAAAATAGTCTCCTTTAGAATTTTCTCGTGCATACCAAGAAAGTAGAAATGCTTTCTGTTACTCCCACAACTGATCCAGAAGCATCAACAAATCGGATTGACTTCACCAAGAAAACAAAAGAGAAAAAAGAAAAAAAGGGGTATCAGGAAGAGATGGTTGACTTGACTTACTTAGTTGCATTGCAATTGCAATGGCCTTCCCAATCAGATTGCAAGGGAGTGCAAGAGAACCGAGTCAATGCGCGACACGTGTTTCTTGCACTCTCAACCTGCAATTTCCCTCGATATGATCCTACTATTCATTTACCCTTTTTTTAATCTTACATGTATTTTTGGTAGGAAGTGCGTATGATTTCGTTTGAATCCACGGGGATGGAATTGTCATGAGCACCCTATTGGGGGTTTTCATTCACTTTGCTTTCAGTTTCACCAAGTGGAGTCATCTTTTTAGACTTTTGTGATAGTGATGTTGATGAGGTGGGAATCCCATCCCCGATGCTAGGAACCTGCTTCGCTTGGAATAATCTTTCTCAGGCAGGATAAGAGTAGTAACTGGGAAGGAGGACATCAATTTTAGGCTGATGTATCAGCAATTCTGGATGGATGACGTGAATCTGATGAACCCGAAAGAAAAGGGTGTGGCGATAAGGTGAAAGCAAAGTGAACGCTTCAGACAGAAAGTGGGATTTCATCTTTATGACTATATTTTTTTTCCTTGATCCGTGGTATACATTCCTTAGGAGAAATGGAGAGGGTGGGGTTTTGTTCATCGCGACACACATTAGGATTATGATAATTATACCACACA